ATTAATGTAAGGGAGTGAAATTTCCCCCTTGGTGGTGGGATGAATATCCACAGCATTGTGTTGTAACAATTCTGGAGTGGGAGTGCTCAGGTGCAACCTCTGGGCAGCAGAATGGGTGCTGGGGGGATGAACCCAGTGCTGGGTTAAGGGTACAGAAAAGAAGTCATTTTTCTATGCTGATTAGCAAGCGTAATTCTGTCCAGAAACTTTTCAAAAACCTTTTCACTGGTGTACAAAACTGAGTACTTCTCTCGGTTTTCCCAAACCCTGGAAAGTATGCCAGGAGAAGTCTGGCATTTTGGAAAACAGTTGCTTTGCAGCTGACGTGATACAATGTCCCCTGCAATTGTGGCTACAAGACTCCTTCCTGTCCTCTGGCCTGCCAGGTAGGTGAGCTGGCAGCACGTAGAGGTTTCCAGAGAATGAGTGCTTGCTGCATCTCACCAGCATTACACAGCTCCTCTGTTTCTAGGAACCGCTGCATGTGTTTCAGAGCTGTGCTTTTACATCTCTATGAAGACACAACTTTCAGTATTTAAAAATGACATAAGTTCAAATAGAATAACGATTATTGGATTTGGAAAATGTTCTTAGTTCTACAGCAGAAATGCTCTCCACAGCTGAACTTAAGACTGAGGAAGTGAGCATCTTCCCCCCTCCCAAAAAAAAATCCTGAATTTAATTAGATGCCTTGTTAAATAAAAAAAAAAAAACAGATGTAATTAAAAACAAGCCATGCCACACTTGGAGATGAACACTCTTAAGGTATTACAGCTTCTCTCAAGAGAGGCTGTAAGTGAGGTGATGGCAGTCTTGGAAGAAAAATAAAAGTAGTTACATTCCTGGAGACCTTTGGAATAAAAAGGTCAAGAGAATGGTCTCATTTTCTTAGTCTGGGAGGATGTTCACTGAGGATTATTCTTTATATTTCTGCCCCAGGACAGACAAATATTGAGTAACAGCGTGTTCTTATGCCCTTTTGTACCAGTGTTGGTGTAAGGGAACATCAGTGCTGTGAAAGGCAGATAGGCAGATCAAACTTTCAGCAGCCCCCAGGTAATGACAGTTAATACCATAATACATTCACCTCCTTACCAAAGTACAGAGTATTGCACTTTTGTTTTTGTTGATGTACCTTTATGTCTGGCAAACATGGTCCAAAGGCTTCTAAGAGAAGATTTTCATCTCTGACTGCTTTTTCAAAGTCCTTAAAAGAAAGCTTGCCATCATGATCGTAGTCCTACAAAAGGAAGGGAACTTTTCAGCATAGGACAATTACTTGTAGTAACTATTTTTGTTTAACAGGTGTTTTACTGACATGGATTATATTTTTAGTTTGATAGTATGCAAAAATCATTTTCTTTGGGCCATCAGTCTCTGCTCATACAAGATCTGTATCATTTGCCTTTACCTCAGGCATGGAAGTTGGAGCAAGCTGAACTATCATCTCATACGGCTTTGCTAACAGACTTCCAGGGAAGGCCTAACTTTATCACAGGAAAAGCCTGAGCTGACAATTGCATGGACAAATCTCAAGCACAGTTGGCACCAAGATAAATTACAATTAGGCGACTTAAAAGTAGGAGAAAATGTTAGGATATATTCTGTGTATCTATTTACATAATGAGTACATCCTACATCCTATTCGTGAGGCTGGAAACACTTTACCCTGTTGGTTTCTGTAGTACACGCCTGCCCTATCTTTTACACATACAGCACCCAGAAGCATATGGTAGAGTACACTGATGCCAGCCCACTTCTTTTGTACTGCAGAATCTCAGCATAGCAGAATATTCCTCGAGGTGTAAAAAGCATCCTTGTGTTTTTAGCAGTTCTGCAATTTGAAAACCTCCTGTTTCTAATGACATGGCAGCTTAAAACACTAACAAACGCTACAGTGAGCATTAAGTACTTCTTTAAGCCATATAAAAAAAAGGCGTTAAGTGAAGATTGAGGGGTGTATATGATTAATGTTCAAGGCAAGGGGCCAAATCAAGATTTTTGAAGATCAAGCCATGGAACCATCATAGCTTGTGAATGTGCAGGGAGCACAGGTTCTAATGGCCAGAAAAGCAGAGGCAAGGAGCTATGCAGGCAGAGATCCCTGAACAGGAAAACCTGTCACTGGATGCTTAAGAAGAACAGAAGTGGCTGGGTACCCTCTGCCTTTACACCCCTCAACACAAGGGAGAGCAGGGCATGAGCATGTCCTTTGGAATGAAAATGGTATCATGGGACTGGACATATGCTTAGACACCCTGCCATGGTACCTACAGGCAACTACTGAGAGCAATTTTTGTTTCTTTGAGTGATGGACTCCAGAATGCATTTTTGGATACCTAATAGCTGTTTAGTTAAGATGGGCACCAATATCCTACTTGGACAACTGCCCAGCAGCCAAATCAAATTGGAGATTCTTCAAACACATGTCAGAGCTTTATTATGTTCTTGTCGAAAAACTGAAACGGGATTATGTACATGATTTGTTTACACATGTGAAGATTCATTATGTCTACAGCGTAGTACTTGGACTAGCACAGCTCACTTATCAACTGCCCAAGACATAATAAGGGTGTCCATTTTGGAAACAGCCTGCAAGAAAGCTGTGCATGTAGGTGCTCCAGAAATGAATAAATTGCCAAGTCATAGTTTGTTTTCTGCATGAGACTAGGCTCAGCATGGTCAAGAACTACGGGTAAGATGGACCTTTCACTGAGGGTGTGCAAAAGGAGTGGGTCTGAAAAATAGAAAAGACAGGGTTAAATAGAAGGAGTTGGGAGTCAAGACCTGCTTTTAAGTGAGATATTTTAAACACCACCATAGGCAGGGAGATTATACTTCTTGATTTGATAAAAATGTTGAAACAGTTCCTGGCTGATCTGGATATCTTAAATTAATCATGGTAAGACACATTTTACTTTAATAACCTTGAGATTACTATTCTAATAGAAGATATAAATTGGATAAAGGCATTTCAGGAGCAACTGATAAAACAAATTTACTTAATAATAAAGCTACGGCAGATGCCTATCACTGGAATAAATGCATCTTATGTGTTTTGCATTTCCCACTTTTGACTGGGCTCGTTTTGAGTGGGCATATACATATGCATATACACACATACACATGCTAGCTTATACACAAAGTTTATAATACGTTCACATCATAAATTAACAGTTTCATGTGAGGATATTGGACTGGGACTCATTAGATCTGGATTACATTTCTGGCTTTCCTTAGGAGACTTGTTTCTCTCAAGTATGTAACAAACTCTGTGGTTCAGAATCCCACTGTAAATCAGACTTAGTATTTTGTTACCTGATAGGAATGCTCTAAGTTTCAGTTGATGAATGTTTGAAAGACACTCAAGTATCATAATGAGTAAGTACTTGCCATTTTCTTCATTGCTATGTCTACCAAGTCCTTAATTCCCTCATCAGGATCTTCTTCTGATGGTTGTTTGAGAAGGCAGTTTTTCAGCATTTGAAACATTTCCTCTCTTGAAATGTATCCATCACCATTCAGGTCATAAACCTCAAAACAGTCTTTTTGAAAGATAAACCAATTTTAAATTCAGACATACTGTATCACATACCATTAAAGCTGTCTGTTACCTATTGACAGAAAATGTGAATTGTATGTTGTACAGAGTATTTATTGAGCCACATTTATCATATATAATACCTCATATACATTGCCTATTTGCCCTTCATAGTGAAAATCTATTTTGCTCAAATAAATAATCTTCAGTTCACAGAAACCATACTAACTTACAGATCTTAACTTCTCTGAAGTTGTTTATTTAGAATATAAACAAGGTTCTGGTCCCTGATAGGGACCAGCTATCTGTATCAGAAGGAATTTGCACCTACAAAGCACATCTTTGTTATTTCAGAAACTGGGTTAGGAAAGTAAAGGAAAAGGAAGAATCAGCTGTACTAGCACAGAAAAGACATCTATCTCTTATCTGCCTAATTGTTACTACCTTCCTGGAATCAGAAATCTACAACCATAATACAGTTTTACTATCCCTCACAAAACTCATTTACAAACCGACCAACGTCTTCAGTTTTGGAACACAAGCAGGTTGTTTTTTCCTGACAAAGACAATGTCTGCAGTGAAAAACTCTACTGGCATACACTTACGACAGACAACACTGTGTAACACGACACGAATATATGCTACAGTGCTTACAGCAGGGCTGCATATTTTACTGCTTGTGGTTGTACTGACACGCTGAATTTTATCCTGAGCGCACATGCTAGTGCTGTGAGATCCCAGACCACTTTCCAGATGGATTTATCTAGTACGTTAGGGATGTCTGATGCTGCAACATGGGAACTATGAGAACAATATGCTGACATTCTCCTTTTTCTATTATTTCTTTCCCCACATGCCCTATTTTTTTTCCCTGCTTCTTAAAATTCTAGACTTTCTGCTATTTTATCTCCCCCATTTTTCTCCATCATTACTGTGAAGGTTCTCATGACCATCTTACAAACAGACTCTGTTTTTCCATCTATTTTTCCAAGCTAAAGAACTGCTGGGATTAATGCAATTGCTGCTGTGTCCCCATTGTGCCAGTAAATGAATGTTAGCACAGGTCTTCGTTGGCTTGAGACTGTGCTATATAGCCAAAATTACCCTTTAGCTCCATCTGCTTCTTTCTACTTTTGTGTGTGAATACAAAAACATAATCTGTCAAAACTGTGTACTGTGGAACAAGTTCAAATGCTAGTTTTTGTAAGCAAAGAAATAAGGCGGCAGCTATGATAATGGCAGTTTGCACACAGTTTCTGAGACCTCTGTCTCAGAAAAGCTATTTCAGAACTCAGTTTCATTGCATTAAACTATACAGAAGAAAACTCTTCAATTACCAAACACTTCATAAGAGTAACTACTAAATTGTAATAGAAGCAACATGTAGTAATCACAGATTCAGTGACTACTACTAAATACCAGTATACAGATGAAGCTTACATTTGATCTTTTCTTCCAGTGTCCCCCGAAGAAATACTGATAAGCCTTCCACCCATTCCACCACACTGATGCAGCTGTTGTTATCTCTATCAAAAGTGCGGAACACTAGGAAGTGTATTAAATACGTTTTAAATTTATACAATAGGGAAACACAAGGAATATTTTCTTCAATTCAATGAAAATATAACCCTGTATTTTTTCTGAAGATGTTTCTCTACTTTGACCAAGGTATGATAACCCTTCTTGAATCTTTCTAAGGTGTAACAACGAACGAAATTTCACCCCTCAATTTACTGATCTTCCACTACAGAATCCTACTGGGATAAGACGTTTTGTTTGATCTGTTGCTTTCCTGACTTAAACTACTACAGGAAGCACTCTTCCATGCAGATGTAAACCAAATAAACCACAATATCTCTTACACTGAGGCATATTTACAATACAGGAGATTTTAATTACTAGGCTTTGTCTCAGAAAATCTTAGAGAAAGTAATCCTAGGAACAATACATAAACATTTTAAATATGCAAAGTAAAATAACCTTCTCCCATCTTTCATGTACCAAAATCTTTTTTTATTCTCCCTTCCGTGAAATAACCTTTCAATCTTGCAGCTTTACTATTCATACAGTCAGTAATATAGTACTTCAAATCCCAGATATTAAATTCAAAGCATCAACTAACATCTATAATAATTCATATTTTAGAATGTTAATTAGTAAGTTGGCTACAGGAACACCCTACACCAAGAGCCAAGAATTTTGGAATTGGAAAACAATAGGTTTGCTTTTGCAAACTGAAATCAGCCCCTTTGCACGTAAGCATTAAAATAATTTTAAAGAATGTGTCTGTGTAAGGTATCTTCCAAGGCACACTTAACTTGTTGCATAAAATGGCAACAAGTTTTTATTTTATGGCATTTAAATACCCCTCCTGCTAGACAACAGGAGAAAGCTTAACCAAGGGGTGACTCTTGGCAGACTGAAGCAAGTGACGCCATGCTGCCCTCTCCTGTCATGACACCACAGCGACTGGGATAGAAACAGACACAGGATAACGCACTATAACTGCCTCTCTGGCTGGCCTCCCTCATTATAGAGCGTGCGCTATAGGAAAAAAAAATAGGGAAAACAGAGAAAACTATTCCGCGTAAGGAAAAAGAAGATATTCTTTGCTCAGCAACTCCTGAACGCAGCTCTTCCTTTGCTGTCCAGCAGGGACAAGACGGCTCTATCTCATCTAGGCATGCTCATCAGGTCAACAATGTAAAACTGAACTCTTCCATCCTTTTTAGCCCCACCAGCCTCACCTCTGTCCATGATCATCTCATCCGTCATGCCAAACGCGCTGTGCAGAATGTCTCTGAACATGTTACGGTCAAAGCCGGCTGCAGCAAAGCGGCTGCTGGACTCGGCCACCAGCTTGTCGAAGAGCTTGATCAGACATTCCACTTCACCTTTATTAACTGCCCAGTCAAAACACAGGCCAACATATTTTATAACTTAGGCTGGTAAAAATGCACGGCCGGCACAGCGGAGCCACACGGCCCGGACACCTCAAGTGTTCACCCTTAAACCGATGACCCCTGCCCCGCTCCACCCCGTAC